TGTGAATTTTTCCATAACTTAAACATTTTATATATTTTGTATTCATGTGCATATGTGCATGCCTGTCTGTGCACATATACAGATGGAAAACATGTGCACATGTGGAAGTCAGAAGGCACCTTGGGTGTGACCCTGAGGAATTCAGCTCTCCCAGCCAGTAGAACCATCAACACATTCCTTCTGGCAGAGATGAGAGAACAACCTTCATGTCCCTCAATGTCCTCTAGCACTTGATATTTGGAATGAAGTCTGCTGGTCCAATAGCTGGGGAATCATATCCTCTATTAGCTCTCATGGCCTGTAAGAAATTTGATCAAATTATCTCTCCGTTATTGACTATTCAGGTCCCCTCGGAAGCCCCTGGCATTTCTTTTGCCCATTGTCTTCTACTATGCATTTTTGTTGACTGGAGGACATTCTTTATGTATCTTGAATACTGATATTTTATTGTAGACATGGCAACTACCCCCTAACAGGAGATAAAACCAAAATGTGAGGCTACAAATCTCAGCCATCGGCACTTAGGAAATCTGACAAGGAATCAAAGGTTCGAGAATCTTTATGGTTCTGAAGAGTCAGACTTCTCAAGGTTTCCTTATTCTTACCTTAGGTATCTCTTCTTAATACACATAAAAAAACATTATGCAAATGTTTTCTGCTTATACCTTGATTATCTGATACTCAAGCTGTTAGGTGTGTGTTACCTCACGTCCAAGGTGAGTTCTATATCCTTTATCAGGTATTGTGCAAAGTGAAAGAATGTTTTGTCTGTGTCTTCCATGTTCTAACCTGGCTTTTATGAACTGTGTTTCTGAGGATAAGATGTGGAGAACATGTGTGCGGATCACACTGAAAAGGCCCAGTGCTTTTCATTTTGATAATAAGCCTTGCCAAGGAGCTGGTAGCTGGAACCTTGTTTTGTAGAGTCTCCCAATACAAAAGCATAGTTTGCAAAATTGTTACTTTCCTGGATTCCTTTCTACAAATTGAGTTTGTATCCCAAAGTGGATGCTGAGCAGAAAAGTAATTAAGTGTTGGGCATTGAATGACGGCTACAAAACTCCATTCATTTTTGTCCTCTATACAATTGGAAACAAGAGACTAACTGAGCTCTCTTCTCTCACCTACAGAACTCCTATGTCTTCACAGGCAGAAGTATTTGCGTATATGTAGTGTGTTTTCCAGTTCTTCTTAGGAAAAGCAGTTTATCACATCACCAACAAATCCAAGTTTAAAACTACTAAGAAATTAAATAGCACAGTGACCTAAAACTCCTATTGGGTATATGGAGGAGAGGTGGGAGGGTTTTAATATTTTATTTATTTATTATTTTCTTTTATTTATTTAATATTTTACTTTAACTTATTTTTAATTTATAATTTTGTATTTAATTTTTATTTTTTACAATTTGTTCATTTGTATCCCAATTGTAACCCCTCCCTCATTGTCTCCTTACCCTACTCTCCCTTCCTATCTCCTTCCCCTAGTTCACTGCAAGAGGGAGTCATCCTCTACTGTGTCTGACCCTAGTCTCATCAGGTCTGCCTGGATCCTTTTCCTCTGTGGCCTGGCAAAGCTGCATTGCCAGGGGGAAGTGAGCAAAAAGCAGGCAACTGAGTTCGTGTCAGAGACAGCTCTTGCTCACCTTACTGAGGACCCACATGGAGACTGAGCTGCCTATTGGCTACATCTGAGCAGGGTGTTTAGGTCCTCTCCATGCATGGTCCTTGGTTGGTACATCAGTCTCTGCAGGACCCCCTGAGCCAAGAATTTTTGGCTTTGTTCATTTCCTTGTAGAGTTCTTGTCCCCTCTGTGTCCTTCTAGTCCCCCTTTCTTCCATAAGACTCCTTATGCTCTGCCCAAAGTTTGGCTGTATGCCTCAGCATCTGCTTTGGTCCCATGATGGGTGGAGACTTTCAGAGGAGCTCTATGGTAGGCTCCCATTCTGTTCCCTCTCTTCCACCATTTCTAGTGTCTATCCTGTTTGCCATTCTGAATGAGATTTAAGCATCCTCCCTAGGGTCCAAGGACACTGTCAACGAAACAAAACGACAGCCTACAGAAAGGGAAAAGATCCTCACGAACCCTATATCTGATAGAGGGCTAATATTGAGAATATATAAAGAACTAAAGAAATTAGACATCAACAAACCAAAAAATCCAATTAAAAAATGTGGTACAGAGCTAAACAGAGAATTCTCAACAGAGAAATACTGAATGGCAGAGAAGCACTTAAAGAAATACTCAACATCTTTAGTCATCAGGGAGATGCAAATCAAAACTACTCTGATATTTCATCTTACACCCATCAGAATGGCTAAGATCAAAAACTCAAGTGCCAACGTGTTGGAGAGGATGTGAAGAAAGGGGAACTCTCCTGCATTGCTGGTGGGAGTGCAAGCTTATACAACCACTTTGGAAATCAATCTGGCACTTTCTTAAGAAAAGTAGGAATAGTACTACCCCAAGATCCATCTATACTACTCCTGGGCATATATCCAAAAGATGCCCCACCATTCAGCAAGGACATTTGTCAACTGTGTTCATAGCAACTTTATTTGTAATAGCCAGAATCTGGAAACAACCTAGATGTCCCTCAATGGAAGAATGGATACAGAAATTGTGGCACACTTACTCAATGGAATACTATTCAGCTAATAAAACCAGGAAATCATGAAATTTCCGGGCAAAAGATGGAATTAGAAAAGAACATTTTGAGTAAGGTAATCCAAAACCAGAAAGACACTCATGGCATTATAAGCGGATACTAGCCATATAATATAGGATAACCATGCTAAAGTCTACAGACCTAAAGGTGTTTTAATATTTTTAAGGATGAGATGCAACAGAAACACTGGTAGAGAGAAAATCTGGTGTGTCTTTGTAGGAAGTGTGCTGGAAGATCCCATGTTATCACTTTACCTGTCCTTCAGCAAGCATAGAATAGCCTCCATGTTTAGAACACTGTTTCTGTGTTCCAGGTATCAAGTAGGTCACAGTAGACTTCACAGGCCAAACAAAGAGACAAGCAGCAACTGCAGGGTTTGGATTTTAATTCAGTTTCTGTCTCCTCCACATATTTGCAGCATGCTAAGTGTTCAGTGGGGTCGGGTATAGCAGGTCTCTCCAAAACAGTTTCCTCTGTGGCTGTACTTTTATCTGTCTTGGTCCAATATACTTGATCCAAGCTTTAAGCATCCTGTATGTTCACTATGTTTGCCTTTTAGCTGGAATGGACAAGTGCTCTCTCAAACCTGATTCCACCAAGGGACAGAGCTTCTAATTTTGCTCAGTTCAGACCTCTCTCTGTAAGTCTGCCCTGAAAGCTGCTTAATCAAACACCTCAAATGTCAGAAATGAAGTTTAAAGGGTTTTCGTGGCAAGTAGGTCTAATCTCCTGCTTAGTTCTGATTCCCATAGTGTAGTAATCTCTTCGGAGAAAAGGCCTACTTCTAGCAGGGTAAACACACCTCATAGAATGGATTTCTTCTTTTGGAAAGAAAAAAAGTGAGGCATTAATGAAATTTACTTTTTCACGGAGCTTTTGGAAAGGTTGAAAGCTGAGGTTTTCGCTTCTAACAGATGTTCTTTTTCGGATATTAAAAAAAAAAGTTGCATTTGATTTAGAAATCTCAGTTACGTATAACAGTGGTGCTTCATGTCAAAGCAACCAAGCTTTACAGGTAACATACTGGTCATTGGTACCATGCCTTGTGAGTGTCACAGCTGCCACAAATTCTTCCTGCATTAGCCTGCAAGGACACAAAGGTCAGAAAAGAGCTAACACCACATGAGCAAGCTGCCTTTAACATAATTCCCCAACGGATAACTAGCCATAGTATTACAATCAAAGAGCTGTTGTTGTACAATTAAAAATAAAAAACAAAAGCCTGCCATTCTATATATCATTTTCTTTTGGGACTTTGAATGATGGTTTTTGTTTGTTTGGTTTTGTTTGTGTGTGTGTGTGTGAGTGTGTGTTTACCAAAATCAATGAGAACATTGCGCTTTATAAAGCAGGTGTGAAAGGATACTTACAGGAGCACGGGTAAACTCCTTAAAACAGCTACATCAGTGCTCAGCTTCACTCTGTCAGTGGAGGTCACCTTCATGTATGCCGCATCACAGAATCCTACGTTCGGTTAACTTTCCAGGTGATGATGTCTCATTGATAACCATTATATGTACTCAGCATACGTAATCTAAAAATCTAAAGTCCAACGTGCTACAAACCCAAACCCCGGGAGCACTAACCTGATGCCACAAGTAGCTTCTCCTGGCCTTGTAGAACAAAATGTAGGCACACTAAATGTATCATATGGCATGCCTGTAAGGCTCTGCTTGTGAGATGTTCAGAAAACAAATGAGTGCCACAGTCAGATTACGGTCTCAGCCTCGATGGACCTCCTTACAAATCTGCACATATTCTGAATGACTTAGTATGAAATATTCTGATTGCAGCCATTTCAAATACAGAGCATTGAATTTGTATTTCCAATTCAAACTCCAGAGTGGTTGCTCCGGGGTTGTTGTTAAACTTAGCCAACACCCCAGATGCAGAGCCTTATGTATTTTACTTTCTGATGCATCTGTGCCATTAGATCCATATAACCCAGCCCTGATTTTTCTCATCTAAGCCGCCCCGCTCCCAGTGATTGCCACAGGAATCTGTTTACAGCCAGCACTCACGTTGTCCAAATTTCTGGGAGTATGCCTCTAACAGGATCAGTCTATAGCACTTCTTACCTTCATCCCTCCTGCTTTTCTTCATCTACTTTTATCTCTTTAAAACAACAGCAACAACAAATCCTCTTATCTCAAAGCCATCCCCAAAATGTTGTACCCTACTACACTCCCTAGCATTCCATCTCAACAGGTAAAGGAAGGCCCAGTGGACCCCATTCTCTCTAAACTCAAATCTCAAGGAGATGTCTTTAGTAAGCAAGGGCACTTGGCCTTTGGTGTTTCTCTATGATGACATTTTGCTTTTATGTTACAGGCTTCCATTGGAGATGATACTGCTTCTCCAGAGAGCCACCCCCAGTACACACCTTTGCCATCTGCATCCAGAGAGCTCACCAGTCACCGAGGTAGGAACTCGGCTTCCTATTGTTTTCCATGATTGTAGCCTAGATACCTGGCTATGCAGAACTCAGGCTTCGTGGTCCTTACTGATCTTGCCCTATGACATGGAACTTTGTGCTTCTTAAGCTCTTGATGGGAAATCTGTACTGTCAAATCTAAAGAGTTTAACTCACATGATCAGAGGAGACATAAACCCATGGTATAATTTTATAACCCCACCCCTTTTAAACAGAAAATTATAGTATTTAACAATTACTTGGAAGACCACTCCATACAATAGTAGTAATGGTGAGACATGGGGAAACTTAGTAGTGTTTCTTATAGCAATGTGTGGATATATAAGAGTTGAAATGTGTAATTTCAGAGAGTGCTCTATTACAGCTCAAAGAAACTTCAGTTTGCCTACTAACTTCAGAGATTTCTTCTGGCTTCTCTGGTCCTGAAAACATAATTTGGGTTGTGGTTCTTCTAGTATTGAAATCCTGCTGCTGTCTTTGACATCAAGTCTCAAAAAGTAAGCAGATTACTGACATAGGATAGTGTTTGAAAAAATCTTGTTCCTTCACCAGCTTCTGGGGCCAAGGAATATGTTACTGGCTGAGCAATATGTCAATGGCTAAGGGCAAGAAGAGGCCACGTGGTCTGACTTGTTTACTGTTATGTCCTCTGGTGATCAGATCTCTGCTTCTTAGTTGTGAATCTGTCTTTCAAGGTTAAATAAGAACAGGCGTGGAGGAGGGACACTGTGCACTTCAAACACTGCTCCCTCCAGTACGAAATCTCACGGGGGTCATGGAATAAGAACTAGCTCTCCGGGTCATCCTTGCTAGCTGCATAGACAGAATAAAAGGCCCTGGAGAAGCTCCGACAGTGGTGCGGCTTCCAGGCTGTGTGAACAGGACATTAATAGTCTGCAGCAAGTCATGAAGGGAATCATGTAGTCTTTCAGGCGTCTGTGACTTGGACCTGTCTTGACTGGCTGACACATGGGCATCAGTGGAACTCTTTTTATACATAAGTTTTGACCTAATTATAATTCAGTTGTGATTTTCTTCATCAAGTGTCCATTTTGTGAAAATAAATTTTGCTCAGTTGGATGGAATAGATGCCAGGATGTTCCCATGTTCTGCTGTCCCATGGGAACGAACAAGTCTCTGCTGTGGATGACTTCAAGACCCTGAAGGTCTTGAATACTTTGCTTGGGATTGTTGGATGGGAGTGCCCCTAGAAAACTGTACTAGGAGAAAGAGTCACAGAGTTAATAATACTTGAGGAACACTGCAAACTCTAAAATTAGCTTCATTTTTTTCACTAGTATATTGCTTCCTGGCACTGTGGTGAGGATAATTGTACTCTATAGCCTGTTGAGGAATTAGCATGGAGACTGAAGTCTCTGAGACCCCAAGTCCATTTACAGAGACTTAATCTGCAAATGATACTGAGATTTCACAATGATAGGATCTGATGAGATGACTGCTGTTTATCAGGAATGAGTCAAGTAGCATGTGTTAATTTAATAGTAAAATGTGAGCCTTGGGAGACTAAAGAAGTTATGATTTAAGCATATTAGGCGGTGTGTGCATGTGTGCACGAGCCGTCATGTGTGTGTGTATTGCATGTGTTGGGCATGTGTGTTGTTTGTGTGTGTGCTGGCCTGTGATGCTGGGAACCAAACCCAGGTGTGCCATTACAGGTAAATATTATATCCTTGAGCTCTATCTCCAGTACAAGTTTTAGGGGTAGTTTTGTAATATTTGTAATAAGCAAAAATTATAAAGGTAGAATGCAAATAGATACTCCCAGATGACATTACAGCCTAAAAATTGGGAATAACAGAAAAAGTTATTTAAAGGTATCTAACAACTGATACCCAGTTTTACTGAGGAATCACCTCACACATTATGGCCTGGTCCTCCAAACTTCTGGGCTCACATGTTGGGTGTTGAAAATAGAGTCTGTGTCATGGAACAGCGTTCTCTGGGTGTGTCTCATAAGGAGACAAAGCCAAAAAAGCTTCCAAAGGCTGGCTGTGGTTTTAGTATCCCTCCAAAGAAAGGGTGCAACCTATACTTCATGTTGGCCTGAATTATATACCACTACATGGAGAAAGCCATTGCTGTTTTGGTACCCAAAATGAAAGTGCTAAATATGATGCTATGTTTTTACATTTAAGGTTATTATTCTAAAATTATGATTATATGAGCCAACATAGCAACTGAATGCTACCTATCAGTCCCTTGATGGAAGTGGCCCTTGGGAGCCTATTCTGAGGCAAACTGGGTCACCCCTGTCAGAATTCTTCCCAACACTTGATCTACAGATTCGAGCCGAAACTTCTATTTGAAAACAATTGTTGATCCACCCACTTCCCAATCTATTTTCCTTCCGCATCAACAACTACAAAAACTGGTGGGTAGGTGTTTATGTTCATGTGCAAATTGCTGTTTTTCTATTTTCACTTGTCCTTTTCTGTAACTTCCAATGTCGAATTTGATGGGACCAGAATCCATATCTCAAGAATGGTAGTAAAACATTGATCATAGACTGATGACCAGGAGGTGGGAAGACTGGATCATTCTGTTTGTAACTTACATATATGCCATCTATCTTATGTGTAGTCGTGTGCAAAACTTTCTGCTTCCCGTGTGAAACTCCTTGCTTGAGCTGTGCAGTGTTTTCTTTCTCCTGAGGGAACTTGGAATATTTCTTTCCAGCTCCTAATGTAATTGTTCACCTTCTAATTTCTGTGAGAGCTGACCTGTGTATATGGGTTTGTTTAGTTTTTTGAGACAGGGATTCTTTGCTTAGCCTTGGCTGTCATGGACTTGCTTTGCAGACCAGGCTAGCCTCAAACTCACAGAGATCCACCTGCTTCTGCCTCCTGAGTGCTGGAATTACAGGCATGCACCACCATGCCCAGCTTTGTGTATATGTGTAGTAAACTCATGAATGAAAGCCCTATGAGAGTCAAGGCTAACCCCACCCTACCCCTTTCTAGCCACAATTTTTCAGTTCTTCAGTTAGGTTAAATTCCTCATCTCTAAGGGGAGGGGTGATTCTGTGTTTCTACTGCTTACATTCATGTTTGTTTAGTTTTCTCTAGATACCAGCTTTTGTGAGGAGTAGAGAATACTGTATCTTTTGTGTATGTCTATTAGTGATGCCTGGTTTAGGGCCTTAATACTCAGTATGTATTTGTCTGGGTTTGGGTCAGTGTCCTGCAAAGCACTGAAAGTATTGAAAGATGGATCACTAGCCTATGACTGGTTTAGGACTTGTGAAGCCTATAAGTGGTGGGGCTTATTAGCAGGAAATCACATCATGGAGGGTGTGTCCACAGGGGGATACTGAAGCCACAGTTCCTTTCTGCTTTTTGCTATGGGGAGAAGAGCTTTTCATAGGTACCCTCCATGACATGGCGTGATGCTTTATGCTTTGTATCAGACTCAGAACAATGGGCCAGCCAAGTAGGGACTGAAGTCTCCCAAACTATGAGCCAAAGTAAATGTGTCAGGTGTCTGTTAGAGTAATAAAAAGTTGACTCCCATCAGTAAAAACTGAGTCATGGAAGCCTAGGAGAAGAGTCAGTGTCTTCAATAGCTCTGTGAGGTGACAAGTGTGAACACAGTCATCAAAGGACTGGCCTTGTTCACCTCTGACCTCAATCCTGTTGCTTCCAGAAGCTCAGAGGAACAAGGATAAGAGACATATCTGCTGACTCATTGCCAGAGTCCATTTAGTGACCAAATATGACTTCCAAGTAGATGATTATTTTGATACTGTGTTTGCCAAACACTGATGTTTTAGTAGTAGGAGGGGAATGGGGAGAAAGATTATTTTCTTAGAACAGATGCCCTCAGAGCAGGGGCTTCCTTCTCAGAAAGATTCAGGTTCTGGAATATGCATGGTGTAGCACGGTCCACCTCATATTTCTCTCAAGAACACTGCCCTAGACTGCAGCAAATTGTTGGAGTATGGCGGATTTTGAGCTTTATCCCTGATCTCTGCTGGAAATCTGGATCTGTGTTCTCTGTGAGTGCCATGTTATGAAGATTGCTGACACATTTGTTAGATAAAAGTCTCTTCAAATATGTTATGAGGACAGGATACACTCCAGCAATGACTGGTAAGTCATTGCCAGTCTGTGTGGTAGCTGTTAGAAGTAGGATCACATGAAAATAGGGTAGAGCACTGTGTATTTGGGGGAACAATTTCTATTTAAATCAAAGGCCATGTTGCTCTCATCCTCATTAAAAAAGGGTATGCCAACAACTGTTAGAAGTTAACTAGAGCCACTCAGCAGCAAAGACAGCTATACTATTCAAAGTTCTGTGTCTAGGATGCCAAGGTTACCCCTGGCTCTCATCCTCTCCACTTGACACACAGGGGTAACTGTGGACATGATCAAACAAAATGGAGGTAAATATACAAGGAGAGGGAGGACCTAGAAATATCTATTTTAAGTGTGCTAAAACTACCACAAGGCCCCAGAAGGGAAGCTGGAGATTTTCAAGGGTTGTAAGAAGGTAATATAGGACCTCAGGGGCACCTCCAAATCCTGTTCTGCAGTTTTCAGTCTAAAATAGGTGTCCAGGTTATTATCTTTCTGGTAACTTACTTGGAAGAAGCTTCATCCGTCGTGACTGTGTGCACTGCCCTGCCCTTTCTCCTTTTGAGATTGTCAAACCCTACAGCAGCGCTTCTTTGCAAAGGTCCTCTAACCCAGAATGATCCACAGCAAAGGATTCTGGAAATTGTGGTTTCCAGTGAGATGCAAAGAAAGCCTGACAAGATGATGGTGTGCATGGAACCAATAAAACAGGCTCACCCACTGTCATCTTGTGTCTGCCACAGCCATGGCACTGAGGATCTCACTCCTGTGTTTCCGCATATTCATTTTGTAAATTACACGAAAGTTCCCCGAGTGTCCCTCAAAAATGTACTAGAATTTGCTTGTCACCTTAAGTATTTGATTTTAAATATGCAGAAGAAGGAAAGCTAAGGA